AGCAATCGCAAGCCGCCTTGGGCCATTTTCGGAGCCAAGCACCACGTGGCGGGTGGGCTCGGTGAGTATCTGCCTGTCCAGAGGAGCTTGGGGCCCACGTGGGGTCACGACCCCACTGCGGGCAGGATCTCAGGCCCTCGTAGTCCCACAGCCCAGCTCTGGGCTGCAGACTGATCCTGACCAGGGCCGTGGATGACTTCACGGCTCCTTCACACCCAGCGGGCCAGGCACGACCGGTGCCTGCTTTGGGGACAAACTTAGCAAGTCAGGAGGCCAGAGTGGCAGGCTGGGATGGCCACAACGGACCTCGGGCTTCCAGGGGACCCAACGCCAGAGCAACTCAGAGCATATCAAATAAAAAGCAACTTTAGAAACAGACATGTACCTGGCTGCTGTTTTTCACTTCAAAGTCGCTTCGCCCTGATCTCCTCTCCTGGCTGACCTTCTGGTGACTGCTTTGGAGCAGGTAGCAAACCAGCCATGTGTATGCTGCCAGTGGGGCTGCACGGGACAGAGGGAGGCCCCGTCACCACAGGGCATCCGGCGCCGTCTGCACTCACCTGGGACAGGCGGCTCGGCTGTGCACCCTCCTGGGTGGCCTGCACAAGGAGGGCACAGGGGAACAGAGGCACGCTGCCAGGCAGTAGCCGGCCAGGAGCGGGCATGCAGAGGACATTTCTGCCCAGGCCTGGAGGCTGCCTTCAGTTCCTTGCCACCCCAGTGCCCGAGTGGACGCGGACCCCAGCACACCCAGAACCAGCCTCTCCCTGACAGTGGAGAGCACACCGCAGCATGTCTGGCTGTTTCTCAGCTGCTAGACTGGTGACTCCTGACGTACTTCTGAGCTCCCCTTACCAAGTGAACAAGATTTTCCCAGACTCAGAGGTCAAGAGGCGCAGCCAAGGTCACACAGCCACCAGCCAGGGTGGAACATAGGTGTCTGTGAGCTCCAGGCACAGCAGGTGTGGCAGGTATGAGGCTAGGCTGAGGGTCCCTCGGGTGTGGGGCGCTCTCTGGTGACCTGGGTCAACAGACCTGACCCTTGGAACCTGTCCTAGCCTCCTTAAACCAAAGGGCCTTGGCAGGTGTGAGGAAGTAAAGGACGGTGGGCGAGGTTACCACGGATGGGGCTGGGGGCAAGTCCAATAACATGCTGCCCCCAAGGCACAGAAAGATGCAGGGGAGGCCACAGACAACAAGGGTGGCCCCGGGCCATGCGTCCACCAGCCAGGGACACCTGCATCAGGCAGGGAAGGCGCTGGGCCATGCAGACCCCTGAATTTCAGGCTTTTGCTTCCAAATGGTGGGGCCCACACCTCAGGTTTTAGCCCCCCGCCAGCCAGGACACCAGGCACCGGGCGACAAGTCTGTTCTGGGGTCCCTGCAACCATTGCTTTCCTACTCTGTCCAGTCACAGCTGTCAGGACAGAGGAAGGCGAGGGTCAGAGGCCTTGTTCTCTGTGCTTGAACAAGACCTAGGGGACCAGTGACACGCTGGTCACTTCCTCTTGTGGTACCAGATGGGCTGGCCTCAAGCACTGTCCCATCCTGGAAGGCGTCCCTCTGCATCAGACACCTGAAGTCACCTGGACATTCCAAACCCCTCCCACAGCCCACAGCCAGATTCAGCCCACGACTTCGAGGTTGCCGTATGGCCCACTGAGATAGGCATGACCTTGGGTGTCCACACAGGCACCTTCTTCGGAAATAACACTCTTGCCTCAGGGTGTCGTGGACGCACTGTGGCTCTGCATGTCCCCGCGCAGGGAGAAGACTCACCAAGAGGTGTCAATGAGGGCAGTGGTCACGACAGTCCCTGCAGCTCATCCCAGATGCTCAGCGACCCACACAGGCCAGGGGTGTCAACAGCCTGGGAAACTCAACTCGCTGGACAGCTTCTGTCCTGAGACCTCCTAGAACCCTCCGTGGGTCCCACCAGACAGACCCTGAGGCCCCAGCACCCTCAGCCTTGGCCCATGACCCCTCCACCGGTGCTGCACAAGCTCACTGCCTCACCGAGGACCTCACCACCCATCCATCACGCCCTGTCTGAGCAGCAAACACAGCCACTACTCAACATGGATGCAAATGAGCCTGCTGAGGGCAGGCTCTCCACCTAGCGGGACGCACGGCAGCGCACAAGCCCTTTCATCACGCCTGTCTCCTGCACATGTCAGAGGAATACAAAGCGGTGCCCGCCCCTCCTGCAGCAGCACTTACCCTCCAAGGCCAGGCTCCTGGCTCTGATTCTGTACCCTCAGATGGCTACATACCCCAGGACAGGCCTGCATCCTCCAGCCTTGTAGAGCTGGGGTCAAAAGCCGCTTCTGGAGCCACCCCCAAAGGCCCAAGGCCATGCTGTGAGTCAGCCCAGGACCTGGCACCTGGTGACTACAGCCTGGGGATGTGGAGACCACGGGCTAGCCACGCCCTGTGTCCTCTGGGTACTTTCTACCCAGTGCTGATTTCCCCAGGAAGCCCATCTACTTTGCTGGGTCTCAAGGGAGTTGAGGAGGTGACAGGAAAGAGGCAATGCTCCCAGAGGCTGATGGGAAACGCTGCTGCTATGGCTGCTCAGGTGACAGGGTGCTGGGGTGGTTGGAGCCTGGTGAGCACCCAGTGCTGAGTTCAGTGGGCCCGCCCGCCAGCTCTGCACCAGGATACGACTTCAGGGACGAGTGTCAGTCGCGGACGGATTCCCTCTCCTTCAGAGCCTTCTGCAGCAGCACCTGGGCAGCTCAGAAAGTGACTCGGGATCACCTGCCAGATCCTCCCACGTCCCTGTCTGCCACTTGCATGGTAAGGAGGCGACTAGCCAGGAAGGCCGGGTACTGTCGGGAACTCCTTGACACCGTGGGGCGGGGACAACAGATGAAGGGGCACCCCCCAGAACTGGACGACGCTCACACTAAGACAGCACAGCTGTGCATCTGCATGGCCGTCTGCAGAAATCGAGGGGGCACTGGCGCCAAGCGCTGTGCGAAGCCCCTCCTGTGCTCCACGCTATTCCTCTGCAGTACCCTCATCCTATGCTGCTGGTGCTACAGGAGGCCGGGGTGGTCCCTGGAGCGCACAGCTGGTGGGAACAGGGGTCTTCCCAGGCAGCTGAGTGTGGTCACCCACTCCGGTGGCACAGGCTGCTCTTCCATCTCTGGGGCCTGACTGGAACACTTTCTGCCTGGCTGTAGAGGCCCTGCGCTGGGCTCCAGGGCTAGGTTGGCAGAACAGCTCTCTTGGGCCCTTGGGGACAGGTGTTACAGAATGCTATTAAATACTACTTGGTTAGGCGAGGGTGAGACAGCCAAGTGTCCCCTGAGGAACGCTCTTTCTCACACAGGATTTGACAAGAAGCGGAGGCCCTCCCCTGTGGGAGGCGGCTGGCCCCTAGAAGCCACTGACACCACAGCAGTGTGGAGGGGCGGAGCCTTGCTCTGCTCTATGTCAAAGCTCGCTGGTGGAGCCAAGTCGTCACACAGATCCTAAGCTTTGCAGCAACCCAGGGCCTCACACCCAAACGCTGGCCCCGTGTGACCCCGGGTGCCCCAGAACGTGGGTGTCTGAGGAATGTGCAGAAACAGCCTGGGCGAGGAGCAGGAGGCCTGGCCCTCTGTGGACACAATGCTCCTGGCCACTCCACCCACTGGCCCTGGCTTTTGGGATACCCTCACACCTGGGGGACCCCTGCCACGTGCTTCCCTCGCCTAGACCTGTGTCCAGAGGCTCCTTCCCCTACAACAGCGTTTTGCAGTGTGGGTCACCAAGCCCAAGACACAGGTCCATCGGGCAAGCCACCTCCTGCTGGACTGACCTGGCACCCCTGGCACTGGGGGGGGACAGTCCCTCCCCGCAGGCCACCCCCAGGCTCCTGTCCTCCAAAGAGACACAAGACCACTTTCTGGTGGACCCATGCGTGGTCAGCAGAGGCCTTGCCTCCACAGCAGCAGGAGATGCCCCTCCCCCAGCCAGCACACGTGAGGGTCTTAGTGCCCAGGTAGTAGCTCCTGTGCCAGGTCCAGGCACTCCTGTCTCTTAAGAAATGACCATGCTGAGCACTGCATAAACCAACCCCCAGCGGACACGCCATTCTGCCTCCATACGTCCTGCCTGCTTATCCCGGAGGACTGGGGCTTGATGCTTTCATAGTGATCCCAGCCAGTGCCCTCGGCTGCCGTCAGATCCTGGGCATCTTCCGGTGTTCCCACCTGCTGTAGTGCCTCAACACGTTCCCTGCTCCTTAGCCCCTAGCCCATCTGTGGAGCTCCGTGCCCTCCCGTCCCCACCTCTGCAACTGTAAACTTTACCCAAGGGCAACGTGAGGGCAGCAGCCCTCACCTGAAGGCAGCCTCAGGCGAGATGGGCAGCCTGGAGCATGCCATGCGCTGGCTGTGCTGCCCCAGGCCCTGGTGGGCTCATGGGGGCCATGCCCCGCAGGAGGTTCTGAGGGCAGGCTCTGGGCTGGGCTCAGCAGGTGGTGGCACCAGAGGGAGGGAGGCAAGAGGACTAGGGTCCCAAGCAGCCTGCCTGGGGCCAGGAAAGGAAGCAGGCTGGGTGTGGGGTGGAGCTTGCGGCTGGGAGGTGGAGATGGACACAGCCCCAAGGGACCTAAGCAGGGCCCACAGGAAGGCAAAGCTGTCCAGGGCGATGGCCTTGAGGCTCCTGCAGCAAGAGCCCAGGCACCAGGGCCAGAGGCTCAGAAGGCAGGCTGCAGGGCCTTGCCACACTCCATCCTGTGGGTGGAGCGACAGGTGCCCGTCATCCTGGGGAGCCAAAGCCAACACTGGGCTAAAGAGTGCCTCAAGCATCCCTCAGAAGAGATGCCCTGTGCCCTGTGCCCTGTGCCCAGCCAACCCCTGTGGAACCACCCCTCACCCCCCGTCCCCATGGTGTGGTTTGTTTCCTGGGGTACAGAAAAAAAAGCCAGGAAAACCCCCAATCCCCCAACAAGGGAGGTGACGCACCTGTGGGATCCAGCCAGTCGGCCACACTGGTACCCTGAAACCTCTGACCAAGCACGACGGGGTAGGCCTCAAGGAAGCTGACCGTCTGCAGCGGGCTTTGGAAGCGTACTCCATCTAGGACACACATGCCAGTGACTTCGGTGAAGGTGAGGCACCCAGCAGCCAGGAGCTGCCTCTGAGCCTCCGCCGCCGGGGATGGAGACCGGCTCGGTTACTCTCGGACCCCTTGTCTCCTCCCACAGACGGCACTAAGCCAATCAGAGCCCACCACCACCTGCGCCCTCGCCCTGGGGCTACCTTGCTCCTCCGGCTCCAGGAAGTTCAGCAGGTATTTGCTGGCCTCCTTCAGTAGGATGCTGTTGTCACCCTCATATGTACAGTTTGGGTCATTGTCATTTCTGAGGTCACCCAACCGGTTCACTGCAATGGAGCAGGACAGCGCATCGGTCCATGCTTGCCAGAGTCAGCTGGTCACGGCCTGCACCCCGCTGGACCAGAGAGTGAGCTCCTGCAGCCTGGTCCCCCACCCCAGCCCCTTCGAACTGCACCGGAGACCTCAGCTGAGGCTGCAGCGCGACCCTAGGCACAGACAGGGACCTCCTAGAAGCTGGTGGGACACAGCTGCAGAAGCAGCAGCAGTGTGGTCTCCGTGGTCCTTGCCCTGTGAGCAGCCAGCCCGTCGGCTGCCAGGCAGCACCTCCCCACTGGGAGACTCGCCTCAGAGTCAGGGCGTCTCCAGGAAGCGGACACCCTGGGCTGGTGGGGGAGCGGCCTTTCTTCATCTGCACCTGACAGGCCCTTCTCTAAGACACTGCACGGATCTGAAGATAGCACTCACTGGCAGCAGGCTCTCCAGCCAGGCAGACAACCCTCACGCCTTTGCAGGGCGTCCCTGCTACACTCTCAGCCACTAGGGTTGCCTTCTCTGTGGGGGAAGGGCCTCACATGGTGTGAGACATTCTGTGCTGGACACGTCCACAGGAAGTGCAGGGTCACCTAGAACCTCGGATCCTTTTTTCCCCCCTGGTTGCTGTCACATCACATTTCTCCTGCTCCTCACGGCCTATTAAGCCACTGGGCAGAAAGGACTGGGAGAGGTCTTACACGAAAACTCTGCTTGATATTCTCAACCTAGACAAAGCCCCTCGCGTGGACCCCACTCAGCCCCATGGGTCTCAGCCCAATGTTTGCGGAAGTGATGAATCCTGGCTCAGTCCAACCGGAAGGCAGGAAGCTATATACAGCGGCTCTATGAGTTACAGCAACAAATAAAAACTGCTATGGCGCTGCAGAGGACAAAGATGGGCACACCCTGCTGGAGCATGCACGGGTGAGATCAGAGGGGACAGGGGACACCAGATGCACGCCAGCAGCCACCGCTTGGGCAAGAACGTGAGATGCTTTCAGAGGTCAACGCAGGCTGTGCAGTGCTCTGGCCTCAGAGCCAGGACGCAGCCTCACAACAAGGAGCCAGCGTTCACCAAACAGTTACTTAAGACCTGCACACGGGAAGCTGTGCGGGTGAGCCAGAACCAGAGATGGCGCAGGACTGGCTCTCACGCTAACGCTAGCTGAGCAGATGCAGTTAGCAACCTGGGGCCGGTGTACAGCCCAGTGGCTTAAGGGCCTGCCTGGCAAGCAGGAGCTCCTGAGTTCCACCCTCGGTACCAAAACGGAGCAAAGCTACCAGCTGGGCTCCTGCCAACTCCTCCACTGATGCTGTGCGGGTTCTAATCCACTTGACCTCTGCAAGAACCCGTGCTGTGGGTGGATGTTTGATCCTCCCTCTTCACGAGGAAACAGGCACTGCCAGGCTGCGCAGGTGCCAGCAGCGCCAGGGCGACAGAGCCAGGCTCTGCCTCACGCCAGAAGGCCGCCGCTGTCCGAACCGCAGTCCAGCGGCCTAGAGAACACACCCCACCAGTGAAACTCCGATTTGTAGGGTTAAGGGTTTTTCTAGGGGGAGAGGGGCACAAAAGGAGGGAAATTTTAAAAATTAGAAAAAAATCAGAAAGAGTGATGTACGTGTAGCTTCCTGCAAGGAAAGAAAACACTGTGCATCACACGGTGTACACTTGCTAATAAAGTGTGTGTGTTTTTTTAACTCAAAAAAAACTTTCTCATCAGAATAAAACTTGGTGCTAAGGGTTTTACACAATTATTAACCAAAAAGTCACACATGAAGTAACAAGGCTTCCTGGCCCCTGCCCTGGCTCTGTGTCTATTCACACATTTTTCTCTACTGCATTTGTATCCCGATTTTTGAGCAGTTAGCACCTATCTCGGCAGGGGAGAGCGAAACTTGCCCGTGATGGCCAAGAGGGCAAATACTCGGGTTTTGGGAGCTGTGGGGTCTCTGCTAGGGCAGCTCAGAAACAGCCACAGACCAGGCACACGGGCAGGAATGGGGCGACTGTGTTCCAATAAAGCATTCTTTACAGAAACAGGCTAGGGCTGGGGCTGGCCGGCAGGCAGTTTGCTGCGCCCTGGCCTGGCATCCAACGTTGTGGTTAAGGATGGGAGGGAAGCGGTGACGCGCTTTCCCAGACCTACCTGCCAGATAGCCATGCCCGCCACACGCCTCCCGGCACTCCTGGATCCCTTGCTGTGCCGTCCAGGAGACCAGGGGCTTGGCGGCCGCAGCCAGGGCGTGGATCTCACGGCTGAGCTCCGCCTGGGGTGGGGCGGGTCCAGAGAGAAGGCGTGAAGGGAGGCTTGTGACAGCGCTAGCATCTATCTCTGGGCTCCTTCCAGTCTAACTGAGACGCCTCACACTTGCAGGAGGAGACGGATTCCAATTCAAAACAGGGAGGGACTCATCCAAGAATGCACAAGGTATAGGACCTTAGCGAGGTGCGCGAGGCGGCGGTCCCGACTGGCACTGGGGCGGGGCAGGCTGAGTCGTTCCCCGCTTGCCCTACATGTGCTTGGTCAATGTCCTTTTGTTTCCGCTTGATCACCAAAATTTAAAGAAAGAAACCCACGCCTGCTAACTAAAGTGACGTGGATAGGGTCTTCTAATGAATAAGGGGCTACTCGGGGTCCTCCGGGGCTTGGCTGGGTCGACTCACTGGACTTTAGAGAAAACAGAATTATGCTTTGTGCCCTCCACAGGAAGACAATGCCACAGGCCAGAGGGCAGAGTGGCCAGGGCTTAGGGCAGCACATCAAACCCCGTTCCTGGGCTACAGCCTTGTTCTACCTCGCTGGAGCCCAGTGGCCCCACAGTGAGTGCCCCAGCTCTGTGTGGCGGCCCTGCCTTCCGAGCTGGAGTCCCCACCATGGCCTGCTGGGTCTGCTGACACGCTTCAGGGTGCCCAGACTGCTTTCAGACCCTTCTGTTTGGAGTCACAAGCTCCTCCCCCGCAGAGGGCAACCCAGGAGGCAGCCGAGAGCCGTGTGGAAAACCAGCAACGAAGAAATTGGCCCCAGGCCTCTGTCTGTGTGCCTGATCTCAGGGGATTTGCATGTTCTCTGCAGCACAGATCCTTGGCTGTGGACTCCAACCGTCAGCAGGATGCCGACCTTTGTGCAGATGATTATGGGTTCTGCCAAGCCATCACATTCTCACAGGATGGCAGCTGAGCTCACAGGCGCGAATGGGGAGGAGGAGTTGGTCAGCACTCCCCAGAGGGATGGGGAACAGACAGGTACAGCCTGAGGGTGGGGACATGGATGGGCACAGCCTGAGAGTGGGGGCACAGACGGGTACAGCCCACATGCAGATAGATGCCACAACGCAGGCCCCGTCTGGACACAGCATCTATGTGGAGGCTCTGGTCCCCCTCCTATCCTGGAGCTGGGCCTGTGGCCTCAGGGACACTCAGGGCTGGCACCTCACCTGTGGGGCTGCCTGGTCTCCCCTGAGCAGACCTCCATACAGTCTTGCCAGGTCCAGCAACAGTGACTTGGAAAAGTGGTCCAGGACATAGGCTGCTGCCAGATACGGAAGCAGGCGCCATTGCTAGAAGTGACACAGAAGACGTGGTCCCAGAGGGCCAAACACCCTCCCTGGGACCCAGGCCTGGGTCAGGCTGTGTATGAATAGCCAGCCTCGGAGCTGGCCTTGAGCCCCGCACTCGGGCTGCTTGGTCATAGCCTGGGCTCCCCTCCAGCCCTCTTCCGCCTCTCCCTCCCTCCATGCCATGCAGGTGCAGTGGTCATACCCTCAGACAGGTGAGGAAACTGAGCAGCTGCAGACCTACAAGGCCCTCAGAGTTCGGAGAGTGCCTACACCTGTGCAGGCCTGACACCTGCTACGCAGCAGGCACAGCCTCTGCTAGAGGGATGGGTAGAGGGAGGGGAGAAGGGAGGGACCCACAGGCCACGGCCACCACTGTCCCACATCTGCCAAGTTACAGCACTGTGCCAGTCATGTCCCTGTCCCGCAACCCATCCAGGCCCTGCCAGTCCCCCAGCACAGGCATCAGCTGGGCCCAATGCCCAGTGAGTGTGGCAGAGCCCCGGAGCCTGGCACCTTGCCCAGTCACAGTCTGTCAAAGGACCTGGTCACGGGTGCCATAACCACTGCCCTGCCCCAGGCGTGCTGGCACACGGGAGCCACCGGCGGCCGAGGGGCCTCTTGAGCTCACGGGTGTGAGCGGGGTACTTTGCTTTCACTCATGTCCTTCCCTTTTAGCACAGATTCCTGGTGTGGTAAAAGCACAGCTGCGAGAGACACCTTCAGTCTGCCACCATCCCTTCGCTGTCACCAGACCCGCCACCATGCTGTTCACTGGCCCAGACCCGACTCGTTTACCTTCTGGACCTCAACCTGTGTCCCTGGCTGGTGGTCCTCGGTGCCCCGCAGAGTAGGAGTGACCCCCAACCTGGACATTTGTGCAGGGGTGCAGCCCCACCATGCACCACACCCCTGCTTCTGATGATGCACCCCTGGGAGACAGGCTACACGCCTCTGAAGGGTGAGCACTCACACACAGGATGAAAGTAAGGGCAGAGGCCCTGAGCGGCCCAACCTGCATCTGATACTCAAGCACTGGGATCTCCTCCTCCCCCGCAGGGCCGAACTGACGCCGCGTGGCTGAGAAGCGGATCGCAATGCACACAGCTTGCTGCAGGTTCACGACGCACACGCCGGTGATGAAGATGCGCCCCGAGGACAGGCTGCCCAGGGACACCCTCGTGCGCTGTCTGGCATCCTGGGGAGAAGGAGCAGTGATGAATGCGGCCAGGCGAGGGGCTGCCTGGGAGAGTGGCTGGGGGTCGAGGGTGCCCCCTCTCCAGGGCTTCCCACCAAGGGTGCACACAGATCCCCAAGAGCCACCCTACCTTAAAGGTGGCAGTGTAGGTGCCCTGGGGCGTGACATCCCCAGCTCGGTTCAGCAGGTCCTGCCGGGGAATTCTCACCTTGTGGAACATGGCGAAACTACATGGGAAAGGAAAGGGCTCAGTCACTGGAGTCCCCTCCCCTGGTCTCTCTCCTCTCCCCAAGGCAGCCTGAAGGTGACATAACCCCAGAGACAAGAATGCATTGGGGCACCATCAAAGCTGGGCCTTGCTCCTGTAGGACACGGGAGGGGGGGGACGACCCTGCTCTCTGGCAGTAGGACGGTGCTGGACCCAGGAGCCAGCAGCTCTCCCCACACCTCCCCTCAGAGCCGAGCCCACAGGCGGCGGGCAAGGGAGCGTCAGCAAACTGAGGCTCCAGCGCTCAAAGCACAGGACAGACTGCACCAAGGCTCTGCTGCCCAAGGGCCGCACGGTGACGCTTGGAGATGTTTGTACGGTCATCAGGTCAGGAAAGTCTATTATTTCACAACAGCTTAGGGAACAAGGATCTGCAAAATTACAGTTATTGCGAAACTGCAAAAAAAAAAAAAAAAAAAAAAAAAACTTAAAAATATCAGTGGTCGCCATGGCAACTCATCAAATGACTGAGGTCACCCACGTGCCAATATCTTTCATGGCCCGGCGTGGCGGCTTCTGCCTGTAATTCCAGCACAAGAGAGGCTGAGGCAGGAGGATCACTGTGAGTTCAAGCCCCGCCTGGGCTACAAAGTGAGCTCAAGGCCAGCCTGAGCTGCATAGCGAGACCCTGTCTCAAAAAGACAATATATATATATATATATATTTTTTTTTTTTTTTCAGGAAAACTGAGTCGCCTCATGGGTGACAGCGAAGTGCCCATGCTGGAGATGGATGCCTTGCTGGAGAGGGGACGCAATCCTGCTTTTTTCACACAAAAAGGTTTAGAAATTGATTTTTAAAAATCCCGCTAAATTGTAATCCCGCCACAGGAGCAGCCAAGCAGCCACAAATCCCAGCACAGTTGCAACCCAGAGCCCTGGCGCCCTCTGCTGAGCGACCTGCAACCGGCAGGCCGGATGGCCAGGGCACCCGGCTCACAGCCATCCTCTGGCTCAGGGTTCTCCCAGGCTGTGCCTCTGGCTGCTGGGTATCTGGAAAGACATAGCCAGCTCCCAGGGCCACAGAGCTGCGGCTCCGCTTGTCACGGCTGCAGAGGCCCCCAGGCAGCTGGGGTCTCTGAGCCTCATAGTACCATCCCAAACTCAGTGCCCCCAGCCCAGCCCACTGCAGCACACGCTCATCCTCCTGAATAGGCACTGCCTGGGGAAACAAGGCGGTCTCTGGGTCTCCAAAATAAAGCTGAAGACTCTCAAGCCAAGGAACAGCGGTCCTGAGGCCAGCGCACCTGCAGCAGGGAAGGTAGCAGGCCCGGCACAGGTGCGCGCCCAGCCCCCAGCATTCACACAGCAGTAGCACGGCCGCCCAGGCTGCAGCCTCTCCTTTTGGGCCAACGTCCCACACCCTGTCTGCAGCTCCCCCACTGCAAAGTCTGGGCAGAGCAGCAAGACCTCTCCCGGCTCTCCACCTACCTTCCAGCTGGGCTTTGGGGCTCTGTGGCCGACCAGGGAGCACTGCCCTCTGCCTGCCGGGAAGCATGGGCCTCTGCCCAGTCCACTGCTGGGACCACAGACACTAGAAGAAGGTGCCAAGGAGCCAGAGAGACGACCTCAACAGGGTCTCAAGGCTCAGGAAGAAAGGGACCACCGTCATCGGGCCACCTCACAAAGAGCCCAGCTGAGAAAGCAGGCCCCAGTGGCACGGAGTTGGGGCTCCTGACCTGCAGCTCAAATGGTTCCTGCCTGGCCAGGCCCACCCTCAACAGGGCCTGAAGCCCCTCCCGATTGGCTCCTGCCCCAGCCCATACTGTCCCCTTGCCAGCCGGACACTGTTCCTAACCCTCGGCCTCGGCTGGGGTGCCAGCACCCAGAGGGTCCTCTTAGGCCACATGCTGTGCTCTGTCCCTGCGGCACCAGACCAGTTCACCCCTGCTTGTCCACTGCCATGCGCCCGGCGCTCAGCCAGTCCCCATGCTAACACTGACAGAACAGGTAACCCAGCAACTCTCTCTCCTGGGCTCCGACTCTGAGCTGGTGGGTGGAACAAGCGCAGGCCAGAGATGTCCCCATGGACACGGGCCCCGGAGTTCTGTGGGAGAGTACCAACGCTGAGCCTGAGCCCCCTGCAGGAGGAGCCAGGCGTGGGCTGGCCTGGCCTGAGAGCAGGGCGCCATCTACTGGGAGCCTGTGCCAGAGGACTGGATGGAGGGGGCATCCAGGGCTGGGGGCACGCGGGTCACAGACATGAGCACGGCACACAGAGCCTCCTCCCAGGGTCCTCCCAGTGTGTGTGTGAGGTCAGCACACAAAGCCCGGGGGGCGGCAGAGGCAAGGCCCAGCCTAGGACCTGAGGAATCTAGCGCCGATCTCAAGCAAAGGTGCCAGGAGGATGCGCTGCAGCTGCCAGGCCACCGTGACGCTCACCCGCTGTCCAGGCCATTCTGCCCAAGCTTCCTCCCCATGTCACCGACCATCACGCCTGGCATGGGGAGCAGTGTCTTCGGGTCCCGGATCTGCACAAGACCAAGCAGAGCAATCAACGGCCCTGTGAGGGTCGCAGGAAGATGAAACTGAACACGCCCAAGGCCTGGCAGCAGACCCAGGGGTCCCTCTGGGTGCCAGTGGGTCACACTGTGTCCCTGGGAGTGGCACGGCCAAGTCCCAACCCCAGGACCTAGGCACAGGGCTTGATGTGAACATAGAGTCTCCGGTGTGATGAGGTAGGGGTGGTGAGACAGGACCACCGTGTTAGCCTGCTGGGCCCCAAACACCACGATGAGGTCCTTACGAGAGACAGAAGAGCACACGGCGCACACACAGAAGGAAGCGTGGAGACAGAAGCACACACTGCAGTGGCATGGCCACCGCCATGGACACATGGGTCCCCAGACGCTGGGAGAGGCAGATGGAGCCTCCCCGGGAGCCCGGGGAGCATCAGGGCCCGCCACACCTGACGTCAGACTTCCTGCCTCCACGACAGCGAAACAACCCCGCAACAACCCCTTGCGGCCTCCATAGTTGAGAGCAGCAGAAACTTTCCATGCTCCTAAGCCCTGCTGTGCGGCTCCACTTGTGGCAGCCCCACGGTAGGATCGTGGTGAGAGGTGACACTGCCCACAGGGCACCAGCACGCCCTGCCCAGATCTCAGGCACAGGACTCCTGCGGCACACTACCAAAAAGTCAAAAACATGACCATGCACGCACACGCTGAGGGTGAGAGAGCCGAGGATGCCTGTGGAACACACTTGTGGAACTAGAGCACGCAGACCCAGTGGGTGGCAGGTCCCACAGCACGAGCTGCAAGAAAGGACCCAGGGCTCATTCCATGGGACCACAGTCACATAGAACCCGCCATCGCCTCCCCACCGGGTACAAGGCTGACGCCTGCAGGCACCCTTGTTGTTCTAGGGGAGCAGCTGTACTTACTGGGGAGGCCAGGGCTGTGGCCCCACGTCCTAGTGAGCACAGCGACACCCACCACAATGTGACACAGCTCCCAGTGTCCATGGCACCCCCAGTGCCAAGCCACGTTACCAGCTTCACAGAAATATCCCAGGCTAGGGTGCAGCTCGTGCAGGGGCTTGTGCTGAGCATGAGGAGGCTTTGAGCCCTGCCCCAGCACGAAAGGAAGAGCAACACAGAGAGGGGAGAGGGAGAGACAGAGACATCAAACTGATCTTTGGAAATTACCACACAAATTACTAGTTTTTGTTCTGTGAAATAATCATTCAAATTAATTTATTTAAAAACTAAAAAGGGGGGCCGGGAAGCTAGCTCAGCAGAATAAGTGCTTGCCTGAGTTCAATCCCAGGTACCAAAAAAACCCCAAAAAAACTATAAAGAGTTTACAATCCAAACCTAAGGCATCAGTCTTTTGAAGAGGCTCAGTAAAGACTCACATGATTTCCTTCAGACCTTTTGAGATACACCCACTGAAAACACCACCAACAAAGCAAGACGGAGAGGTGTCACTGTCTCAAACTTACACAGCCAAGGGCCACACCGAGGTGGTCAGCAGCCAGGGGAGGAGTGGGGGGCTCCTCCCTGCCCCTTCCTGGCTCCACCTCCGGCCCCCACGCAGGCGCAGTGGTGCCCCAGAGGCTCCCTGCTTCCGCAGGCCCAAATCCAGGGGACCAGGCGACCACGGACTGAAACCTCCAAGGCCACAGGTCCTAATAGAGACCTTTCCTCCTTGAGAGTACTTATGTGGCGTTTCCCACAGTCACGGAAAGCTGACTCCCCGGAGGGGAAAGCGCTAGAAGGCAGGGGACGCCTGTCATCACAGAGGACAACGAGAGCTTTCAGTTCACCTAGAGCACGGCAGTCAGCAATACCCTGATGCTTCCTGCGTGAGGAGTGACCTGTGAGCCCGCGGTACAGCCAACCGGCTCCTCTGACCACTTCTAAGAAGCATCTCCAGCCAAGCATGGCGGTGCCCACAGCGGCCTCGGTGGGCCACCAGACCCTGCAGCAGTTCCAGCCGGGCTCCCGAAACAGCCTCAGGTGCTGCGCCCTGTGGTCTGAGTCAGTGGCCCCACCACTGGGCATGGGGCCGGGTTTGCAGAAGATGGTTTTTCATGGGGGGAGGGGGTGGGTACGCAGCTTTGGGGTGACTGAAGGAGCTGCACCCCATAACCCCTCTGCGCAGTTCAGAGGCTCAGCAGCTGTCACAGGCCCTCGCCTCAGATTCTGCGAGACTCCAGCGCCTGATGACCCTACAGATGGCTCGGGGTGAAGGGAGTGAGGGGGCAGCTGAAGCTCCTGCCTAGTGCACCTTCTGCTGCGAGGCAGGGAAGGGGAGCTCACAACCCCTGGAACAAGGGTTATCTGGAGGCCCCCCAAAGCCTCAGGCGCTAAGGTGGGGCTTCTGGGAGCGGCCTGGGTCAGGGGCTGTCGGACTTATCACTGGGTTAGTGCACCAGGGAGTGTACGGCTGAGCGTGATGCTGGGAGGTGAAGCCTGCTGGGGGACGGGGTCCCTGGGGGCGTGGCCCGGAAGGGCCATCTCCCGCCCTCCCCCAGACTGCTGCTCTAGGCTTCCTGGTTCCACTCTCCTCCCCCGCCAGGCTCCTCTCCTCGGGGCTGGCCAGGCCCCTCGGCCACGCCACCCTGCCTTGGAGCCAGCAGCTCTGAACTGAAACCTCCACAAACAGCCAAACTAAATCTTCCTATCTTTCTGTCTTTCTCTCTCTCTCTCTCTCTCTTTCATGTATCTGTTACAGGGTCTCACTACGCAGCTCAGACTTGCAGTGATCCTCCCGTTTTCAGCCTCCCCAGCGCTGTGATTACAGGCATGCGCCACCATGCCTGCCAGGACGCCTCGGGACTCGGTCACTGGCTCAGCACACCTCTCCCAGGGCGGGGCAGGCACAGGGATCAGAACCCGTCCCTGCGTGCTTGCTTAAGCAGGTGCTTAGTCCACTGAGCTATCTTGCCGGCCCTGTCCTCCTCTAATTTGTGGGTGTTGGGTATTAGGTTTCAGCAAGAAGAAAGTGTCTAAGACGTGTGCTCTAAACAAACTGAGTTCTGCGGTGGACGTTTCCAGCAGGAGGAGGCCCCACCAGGCATGATTAGGTGCTCACAGAAACCACACACATGGCCCCGGCCCAGCCCCCACCTACCTGCACCACGAAGGAGTGCAGCCCGTGACACCGGCCGTCTGGTGTGTACAGCTGTGCAAACACCACCCCGTGGGTCGCCGTCTTGCCCATGTTGCCCACCCAAAATTTGGCAGCTTCAAAATCAGGGGAATGAATGATGAACTCCTGCAGGAGAGAAGTTGGGTGGTGGCCAAGGGAGACCTGGGGAGGAGGGCGCTGCCCTTCCCAAGGATCCAGTGTTCTGGGCCCAGAGCCCGGAGGCCACAGTCAAAACAGACCACACATGGGGCGGGGCCTCGTGCTGAAGCACAGCATAGTCCAGGGGACCCTCCTCCAGAAAATGACCATGAAATTTCAAGAACAAAGCTGTGCAAAACACACCGCCTGCTGGAAAACACTCCCAGATGGTACCTTTTGTCACGTCACCTCAGACAGACTGTCCCCGCCAGCACTTTTTCTTTTACCTGTCCTGCTACCCTCTTGACATAGAAGACCTGCCCTGTACATCCCCACCATGACAGCAGAGCTGCATCCAGACCCTGGACTTCCACTTGCAACCCGGGCTCAAGGCCATCTTCACGGCGGCCCCAGGCAGATCACCCGATGTCCCTCTGAGCATCACCTAGGCAGCAGGTGTTGGGAGAAGGCTGGCGAGAGGGCCATGGTCTAAGACCCAGGATGACCCTGGACCTGTGGCCAGGCACGGGGCACCATCCTCTGGCCATCCGTCAGACTGGGCCTCCAGCTGGGCACCATAGGGGTCATGGTCACCATGGGGAGTGGGGGGAGCCACAGGGCCAGAGAGCAGGGCTCAGACAGAATCCCAGGGCTTGGGAATCAAGCAGGAGCCTGCGTGAGGCAGCTCCCTCAGCCCACGCTGCCCAGGTCTGGGTCCCCACAGCTGCTAGTGTCCCTGACGGGAGGCCCCGTCCCTGCTCTGGCAGAGCTACACATGGTGTCCCTTTCCCATGTCCAGCCCCCACAAAATTCACAGAAGGCATGGGCACCCTTGCCCCAGTGTGACACATGGTCTCAGAGCTTTTTTATTTTTTTCTTTGGTTTTTGAGACAGGGTCTCACCATGTACTCCACCTGGCCTGGAACGCACTATGTAGACCATCCAGCTTCCAACTTGGAGGCCTCCTGACTCAGCCTCCCTGCTGGGATCGCCCCTGTGCTACCACATCCAGCCCTGGAGCATCTCTTACAAGCAACACGTGTGCATTCAGGATTCCCCATCCTTAACCATGTCCCTCGCGACACCCCATCCACTCCCACCCCAGCTCCATCCTATGGAAGGTGACACCTACTTCTGTGGTAGGGTCGTAGTGTGCTGTTGTTCGGATGGCCTGGGTGTTGCTTCCGTGACTCAGTTCAGTTAGTGCAAAACAGCCAAAGATCTGGAGACGGAAGCACAAAGCCATGGGCAGCGAGAGGCCACTCCTGTCCTGAGGACCAGACAACAGCCTGCCCTGGCCTCCTCTCTCCACTTGACCAGATGCCGACTTCCCATGTCATCTGTCACGCCGGACACCACCCCTGCCTGTGAGGCAACAGGCAGCCCAGGGGGCGGCCCTCGCTAGGCTGTGTGGGTACTGCCGAGGAGGGCTCAGTTCACACAGCCGGTGCCTGACAGGCAAGGCAGCACAGGCCCCTGGTGACCCTCACCAGCCACCCACCCTCCCCACACACTCGGGGAAGAGCACTGGGCGCTCTGCTCACCAGGCTCTGACCTACCTCCATGTTCAAGACCTTTTCAACATATTTGAGATGCCGTTCAGAGCCAAGGCTGTAAAGAGCTGATCCAAAAACCTGAAAACACAACACTGTCACGCACCTGGGTGGGCGTGAAGGGCGCCGCCACTCTGATCTGCACAGCTGACTCGCACTCCGGCACTCTGCTCTGGGGAGGAGGAAGCAAGCCGGGGCCCAGGCTCATGAGGGCCACAGCCCACACCAGCTAGGCAGCGTCACCTCCAACTGAAGACACCTGAGAGACAGCCTGAGGGTCTGAGAAGAGAGAGCCGGGTGACAGGAGGGAGGGTGGAGAAGAGAGACAGCCGGCATGTCACACAAGCTCGTCTCCCAAGAGCATAGAGATGGAAGAAGGCCACTTTCTTACTTGGATCTACGCTTTCCCACTGGCCCTCACGTAGCCACATCTGTAACAAATTACGTTATATGGGCTAATCCAAGAACATGGTATATTTAATTTTTAAAAAATTACAGTAAAAGGGGGTTCGATCCCCAGGCCTGCCGTGCCGGCCCCACCCCCGGGGTGCACTGAGATGGCAATTGAGTCTGGGCGTGGCAGCACGCGCCTGTAACCCCAGCTCTTGGGAGGCTGTAAACAGGGAGATCACTATGAGTCCAATCTAGTAGTGAGACCCTGAACACCCTGTAGACCCTTCCCTAAACTACAGAAAAAAAAATTACAGTAAAAGACACATTTCCACAGCCGCCCCCACAGCCCTCCCCCTGCCGTCAAACACATTCGTGCCACTCTTCTGAGCCCTTCCTGAAGCAGCTCTGGAGTCCTCTTTACAAGTGTCCCCACGCATCGGACAGGAAGGCAGCTCGTGAAAACACCACACTGCATCCTCGCCCGCCCGGGTCCCCAGGTCTGGCACTGTGTTACTTCTGCTCGTCAGCAGAGGCAAAATGGCCATGAAGGCGAAACAATCTGAACCCATTCAGGGCACAGAGGAGTCACGACAGCACAGCTAAAGACCCTCGGAGCGAGGGCTCCAGGGCTGCTGCAGAAAAAGGCAAGAAGGACGGGAGGCGAGCGTTTGAAGCATGGGAGACTGCCTTAGGGGTGACTCGTGGCACTGTGTCCCTTACTTTGTTAAAATTAAAATATTCCTTTGTTCAAATCACAGCATATAGATGTGTAAAGGACAAAGGCCCCAGTAGCTCCTCTTGCAGGACCTGAAGTTTCGCTGCACTGCACTATATCGAGAACGTAGGTGTGACAGTGCGTGCTCATGGCTAGAAAGCCTGCGCTTCTGACTCAACCTTAAATGCCGACCTGATTTCAGGTAACAGCAGCCACTGCGCAAAGCATAACTCTGCACGGCCCTGCGTCACAGCAACTCACCATCAGGTGGAGGGCGAACTTGGTGCCCACCGACCAATCATACATGCCCAGGCAGTAGGTCAGGGCTGGGAGCCGCAGCAGGCTCTGGTCCAGGTTGTCCAAGCTGAAGAAGCCATACTCAAAGACCCGCTTGCACCGGAGGAAGCTCAGCTCACGGTACTTTTCCAGGGACAGATCAGCCCCACGGGAGCCTGCAAAGAGCGGGTCCTTCTCCAAAGCCGAGAAGACAGCCTTCTGAAAACGCAGGGTACACGATGGCTAGCTGGAGGCAGAGGACGCAATGTTCCCCCTCAAGGCCATACACTGCCTGGGACACAGTCTGACCATTCCTGTCTTCTTGGCAATTTGGGTTCAAAGAAGAGAGGGCCCTGGGTGTTCTGGGACAAGCCTCATTTCACCATGCAGAGGAAGCCAGGGAAGCTCCAGGCCTTCAGATCTGCAACCCCATTTCTGCCCACAAGTGGAGATTCCCCCATCACAAGGGCTCCAGCCTCTGGGCCTCACCTTGAAGCGGAGTGTGTCCTCGCCCTCCCAGAAGAGCTGCAGCTCCCTGGGGCTGAAGGACGCTCGTGCTCGATAGGCATCAAGGGGCCCCCGGGGAGGATCTGACCACAGGCCATCGTTGCCTCCTCCTGGCGTGGGTGCCATCCTGCACAGAGAGCACACCTGAGCTATGTGTCGCACGTCGCCCACCTACACACACCTGTGTGTCGCACCCAGAGAAAAGCAGGCCTGAGTCCCAAGGGCAGCGAGATGACCTGTGCTGGACCCTAGATTCCAAAGGAGAAGACGTGGTGATCGGGCCTCATTCCACTCTCCTGGCAGAGGATGGCAAGGGTGCACTGGGAGCAGAGCAGGCTCGGGCCCGAGCCTGCAGGTCGGCAGCAAAATCCAGAGGGCACTGGGCTTCGTCCCCTGCTGACACAGCTTTACCTAAGGACACCTTGATCCCTGGTGAACCAGGGTGCTTCCCATGGAGCTTACAGCCCAGAGAGCCTGGAATCCATCCCCGCTACACACAGCAATACACGATGTCCCCACCATGTGGACACAGGCCATGTGCCACAGAACCTTTGACCACACAGGGTTCTGTCCTGGTCTCTACTCAATATGTAGACATCTGGAGCAGAGAATAGTTCTAGAATTTTCTGTATGGCTTGGACCCTTCTCCAACAGCCCTGGCTAATCAGAGCTCTGCAGGACAGCAGCTTATAGAGCTAGGCCTACAGGAAGCCGGAAGAGCTGAGTCCAGGCCTGGAAGCCCAGAGTAACTTTCAATTCCTTCCACATGACTGCTGAAATAGTCTAGGGGTGGACCCTCTGCGTGACAGTCACAGTGAAGCTTTCCTAGATGAGAGAGCGTGGCTGCCGAGTGCCCGGGACCCAGCCCCATGCAGCCCTCCCAGTCACCGTGAGCTAAGTACTGGGGTCTCCATGACACAGAGCAACAGAGGTTCAGAGGGGTCCCCAATTTCTGGCTGTGAAAGGCCAGAGAAGGGATCCAGAGCTCAGAAGGGGCCAGCCCAAGTCAGCTTCTGAAACAACTCTGGGACAGGGGAAGGGTAGCCCAAGCTAAACAGAACGCAAGTGGAAGAATACAGTGGAAGATGAGACCCAGATCCAATACGGCAGAAAAGAGGGGAGCAGAGACAACCTGGCGGAAAAAAAGCTGGGTCTCTGACAAGACTGGCAAGCTTTTACTACGCTAGCTCCACGAGAAAGAGAAAAACTCACATCCTCAACCAGAAATCAAAAGGGGGACAGAAGGCCTGACCCTAAGGGACTAGGAAGCAGTACCGGAGAAGCCCAGGGTGCGCAGAAAGCAGTTCACCGTCTCCCCAGGCCCTGCCTGTCCTCCTGTAATGGGGTAACAGATTTTTGTGCTTTAACTGTGAAAAATTATTTTAAAACCTTGTGCTTCCTGTTATCTACTCTAAAAAATACATTCTCCCTCTCAGCTTAAGGCTGTTTAACAATAAATAACTTTCTTGTCAAGGCAGTGAGCTAAAACAAACTCCCTCCCCAACCATCTCCTGCAACGTGGTCAGCTTAAGATATACCTCATAAAAATATACACTTATCACTAAACTGTAACAGACCCTTTACAGTTTACAGCTTTGTCAAATGAATGTAGTTTTCTGTTGTTCTGTGCTAGATAACAAATCTGCTTACCAAACTGGATGTGATTCTGTTATAAATCCCCCCCTGCTACCTACGTTCAGGGCCGATCAGCCTTCTCCCACGTGAGAAGTGGCTGACCGACCTGAGCTCAGTAAATAAAGACTCTATTCAAATTTCTATCTGGCTGCTCTGGTTCCTGTGCAGAATGACCCATAACACTCCCACAGGACTAGTTCCACAGTGACAGTGGTCAGGGGCTACTCAGGCTGTACACCTGAGTGTCATCCAGAGTCCCCTCACCCTTGGTCCCATAACGAAATGGACCATCAGCCCCACTGTGCCCCCTTAATGCCTGCAGATCCTTGCATCTCTCTGTTCCCCCCACCGCTGTCCTCTGATTGTTGGACAATATTGTGTGCAGGTAACTGGGTAGAGGAGCGAGGCAACCTTGGTGGCGCCCAGCCAGCCCAAGGACTACCAGGACCTCCCTTCCCAGGTGAGATACTCAGGCTTCTTAGGGTGGAGTGAACTGCCCAGGCCCTGCCACTAGGATCAGGCACAGCTCCCCGTGGCTCCCGTGCTACCTGAAACCACCAACGCCCTGCATCCGGGCACAGTGCTGCAAGACTAAAACCCAGCTGCCCTTGGTGCAAACCCCAGCGTCGCAACTTCTGTTGGATGGCCTTACCGAGCCTGTGGTCAGGGTCACCCCACACAATGTGGTCTCCTACACACTGTACTTAGGCTACTTTGGCCACAGCTGACACTTGGACCGTCCGTGGCAGAAGTGATGCCTTAGTGTCATTACTCTGCGACCGCTGCTGCTAGTCTCTTCCTCTGGTAAAACCACAAAAGGTTATGGTTGGGTCTCCTCACAGGGGCCCCCAGACCCTATCAAAATGAAGTCACTCTAAAGTGCCTCATGGGCAAACTGAAACGGGAAGGGAGCGCAAGGTGGCCTCCGGCCCACTTGTCCTGCTATCCCCTCTCCTGGCTTTAATCCTTGCAAAAGGGTAACCTGAGGTCACCTGACATTCACGAGTCGGCTTCTTCTCTAAGCCTCGCTGTCCTCTCCCTGCCGGAAGTTGTTCACATCTGCACGGTTCACGAATCCTGAATCCGACTCAAGAGACCTGCAACTACACTTAAAGTCTGCGACACCTCTCTGCGGAGGAGAGACGGCTGTGCCCCGCTAGTAGCCTAAGCAGCAGCTGCCTGGTGACCTTGGGGACGGAACCCAGGCTGCTTCCACCTCGTGCAGGACCTCCTTCCAGCGCCGGCGCAGCGCACGGACCTCTGCACATGCGCCCCTCGCGTGGAACCTTACTCGGGTTCCGCGCCCAGGATCGGTCCCCCGTATGGCAAGACAGACGCACCTGTGCAGAGGAACTGACCCTTCCTGGATGTGACCAGCCCTGGGCCGCCGCGTGGCCCCGCCCCTCAGGCACCGCGGGGGCGTGACCTGCGCCTGACGCCATCACGTCGCCCCGCCCCCTCCCCTCTCCCCCCCCCCGCCCTGTCGGCGGGTTTTGTGCGTCACGTTCCGTTCCGCTCCAGTCTCCCAGGAACGCACGGGTGCGCTGAGTAGAGACTCCGTGCTGTACTTCACCTCTTCGCCGGTGACCCTCTGCGGGGTTGATCTGGAGCGCGCTTAACGCCATTTTCTCCTCATCATTCGGAAGGACTGCGCAGGAATCTCTAGGGTGGTTATTTCGTTTGCAGATTCCGGGGCCCACTCCAGAGCGGACCAGCCGGCCCCCAGTGGGCGTTTTCCTCTCGTTCAGCACGCCCAAGGGCTTGCTTGGTAAGCACGCTCGTCACTGAGGTTTGGGAACACGGCCCTGTCGGTCCTCGGAGGCGCGTGGACGCGAGCTCCCCGGCCCACAGCAGCGACCAACTGGATAATCTCTGCTTCTGTCTCACAGGCCTCGGTTCTGTGTCCTGGGACCCGCCCCGCATTTGCCTGCCTGCACGGCGACCTCAAGGCCTGCACGGGGTGTGGGGCGAGGGTCCAGGCTAAGTTGCACACAACGCGACTCCGTGTTGGTTCACAGGCTGAGAGGGTCTCGGTGTTGGGCTAGAGCTGTGACTGCAGCCGGTGTGGACCGAAGCCCTGAGTTCAGGTCAGCCTGATGGGCTGGGATTTAGCGCTCGGAGTGTGGAAGGCTTCCAGGTAGAGGCTTACCCCACCCGCAGCCTCCAGCACTTCGATGCTGAGACCAGCTGGAGGGGTGGGGGACTCTGGCCGAGTCTCTCCCCAGCTCAGTCTAACACAGGAGCCGGTGCTGGCCTCCAGTGGCTGCTTAAATTCAAATGTGCAATTGTTAAATAAATGAAATTCCCTATGCAGTCTCAGCTGCACGGACTATACTGCAAACACTCGGTAACCACACGCAGCTAGCTTCTTATGCTACGCAGACAGGGAACATGTCCAGCCTGGCAGCAAGTCCTACAGGCCAGTGCTGTCCATAGACCCTGAACTCTGCCTGCAGGAGCCCAGCCTGTGTGGCTCTGAGGCGTGTGTGTGCCATGGTGTGAGCTGGTTACTCTCAGAGCAGATGCAGAAGCAGCTCTGCGGAGCTGTCCTTGTGAAAGAAACTGCTTCTGCAAAGGAAACAGCATTAGTGCAGCAGCCACGGCAGGCAAGGTGGCTGCAGATAATGCTGGCCACCTGAGACCCTCTCAGCTCGAGAAGACGGCCTCGGGTCACTATGCCACCCTCCTGTCGCTGACCCCAGCCCCAAGCCCCTCTTCTTTCCCACAGCTCAGGACACCACATAATCTTTCATCTTCTGACCTTCTCTGGCTGCATGATCATCAGTAATTAAGTGTGGGTTTCCGGGGAGAATGTCGGAAGCATGGCCAAGTGTGGGTCTTGCTGGCTTCCTCCCCAGCCCAGCAGCCTCTGGATGGAGGCCACCTCTCTCGAGATTCCAGGCCCCGCTGCTCTTGCAACCCTCCTGCCACACTCCCGCTTTGCCCACCTTTGCATCCGGCAATTTTACACTATTTCCAGTATACTAAAACTATGTGGGGTGGTGATACCAGTGTGGTCCCCACCTAACGGAAGGGGGCCAGAGACAAACAAAACATGCTAATTCAGAGAAAACAAAATGGCAGCAATACACAGGTCTGGGGTGGTCTGGTTGGTGGCAGAGAAGCCCTGCCTGAAGATGGGACATTTCTGCGGCTTCCTGAGCAGGGAGCAGACCCCCACGTGTATATCACGGGGAAGCAACACACAGAAGGCGGCCTCAGATGGTGGTGAGCTTCGGGTCTGAGGGGCATAAATGCCATCCTCAGGTGGGCTAAGAGGGCTGGGAAGGCAGGCAGGCCGAGCGAACTCTTGGTTTAGTTGGGGGTGGCTTCCCAAAGAGAACCGACATGTGTGTATGCAGGTGTATAAGCCAAGACCCGGGCATGGTGTCCCTTGCCCGTAATCTCAGGCATTGCTGTGAGCTATACAGTAAGACCCTGTCTCAAAAGAAAACAACATACTGACAGCAAACTGGACATTTCTGCTTTTCCCCAAAAACGGCCTCCTGGATTTATGGTCCCACGCTCCAAGCCCTGATCACGCATGATTATTCAGAATCAGTCTGGTTCTGTCTCTTTCTCCCCTAGGCCAATGTGACATGCAGCAGAGAAGCAGGAGTAACTTAGCCACTTGCAGGACATGGGAAGGCCACGGCCACGAAGCTCACGCAAGCATGAGATCACAGCACTGAGAACACAGGAGGCTCAGGCGGGCTCGAGCCACTGCAGCAGCATCTGCTCGTGTGTGGGAAGTCGTGGTGCACGCGTGCCTTGCCACCGCGGTGATAGTGGGCGTTACATGCCCAGCTCGACGCGGAAGCGAAAGCGAAAGCACTCCGCACCGAGATCAGCTGAAATGAGCAAGCACCCCAGCCCGGGCCCTGCGCCAAGGCAGTGAAGCCGGCTAGCAGGTGCTCAGGTCTCCGTGAAAGCCTTGCCTCTGAGTGCTGTTAGCACCAACCAGCGCGCGCACAGGTGACGGCCTTTGCAGACAGTAGGATGACCCATTCAGTTCCGCGCAGGTCCCCTGGAGTTAGGGCTCCCCTAGTGCAGCTGGAGAGCACCACAGAGCAGAGCATAAACTCCTGCCTGCCTGACCTATTACTGCTTAAAAACATTTGTTTTCTTCTGAGGTGGTACTTGACTGCTACTTTTACTAAAAGAAAAAAACCCAACTCCATTTGTCCCTACAAATGCCCAACGGCCATAAAAGCAGAACAAAGCTAGACCTTTGGAAGACCTTAGATTTGGAAGCCATCTCCTTTATTAAAACTTTGGAGCCAGGCATGGGGGTACATGCCAGTAATCCCAGCACGCAGGAAGCCGAGGCAAGAGGATCTCTGGATGTTCGAGACCAGCCTAGGACACTCGGGGAGACTCAGTCTCAAAAATCCCAAACAGAAACAAAGACTTTGGGTCAGATACTTGCTCAGGTCTGCAGAGAAGCAAATTAATCACTGGGGAGTGCTGCCTAAAAGTGGGGGCAGTACAGTACAGGTCTCAGTCCTATCTTTGGCCTCACTCCCCCTTTACCACTGAGGACATAAAAGTAAGAAATCTGCAGGGACGTTCAACCACCAGGGGCACCCAGAAAGCTTCAGCCCTTGTCCTAAACCTAGTCACCCTGGTTCCTGCAGCGCCTTCACCCCAGCCAATCTGTAGCAGCCAGCCTCCTCCTCGGCTAAGGGGCGGGTCTGATCTTCATCAGAGCGGGGCCCTTTTAGCTTCTCAAGCTGAGGTTCCTTTTTCATTTGCTACTTTCTAACTCTAACCATCCTGTGCTTCTCACTAGTATCCTAAAATGCTTTTTGGTAAGTGTCTCAAGACCCTGCCCCAGCCCACCTCTTTAGGGAAGCTTTTTCAGATCCTGTCCAGTGACAGATTCGTAACTGTTAATGTTTTGATTGCCCCCAAACAGGCTAAACACCTTTGAACAGTGTTGGCACTGAATTGTGTTCCCTGAGAGATAACTGGAGTTTTAAGCTTATCTAGCACCTGTGATCTTCTTTGGAAATAGAGCTCTGCAGATGTCCCCAAAAGGAAGAGGTCAGGGGTGTTGGCCTAGTCCCCTCGGCCCCTGCCCCACATTGCAGCCAAAGGTTAGGACAAAAGAAAAAAGCAGGTGTATTCCACAACAGACCAGGAGGGGCTGCTCTGGCACTAGGGAGAAGCCCAGCAACTCTGGTACAGACGACGAGGTCTTTATAGGGTCATGAGCATAACAGGTGGGGCCGCTGTGGAAGAAGGCACAAGTCACAATGGGACTTGCCATGGGAGAGTTCAATACAAGAGCTGCGGCGGTCCACTAGGGATGGGGTTTGTGATAAGACCAGCCAAGGAAGGCCATGCAGAACCAGTTTAAACCCACCCAAATGCAAGACTGCTCTCATTTTTCTGGGTCACCTAGAGCGAACTGTGCCCATTAGAGTCACTATAATGCTAAATCCTCTAACCTGAGGTGCATCCCTGGCTGCTGTGTTTTGAACATACCATGTATGAAGAAGCATGATGTGAAACTAGCATGCTAGGAATGCGCCCACCTGACTGCTTTTCGTTATGAACATGCCTATTTTCCTAATGAAACTCACAAGCCTCTTGGTTATTCCGGGTCTCCTTGTGACCGGCAGGGCAAAATGAACTTTTAACGGCTACAATTTTTTTTTCCTTTAGAGACAAGCCACTGCTCCGCACTTCCTCAGGCCGAGGGCGTGGCTGCCACCCTCACCTCTCCTCCGCCCAGCTCATCCTGGCCCGAGGAAGCCAAAATCCAGTTTCTCCTCCACCGGGGAAGGACGGGAGCGAGAAAGGGAGCTGGCAGCAGCAATACGAACCGCCTGTCCTCTCGGAACTAGCTATAAACACGCCTTTCGGCCGGAACCCCCACTGCACGCCTCTGCCCACGCAGCTTCCGGTGGGGCTTACCGGCTCTGCGCGCACCAGGGCCGCGGCCTACAGGCCTGTCCGCCCGGGCGGGCGCCCACAAGCGGTCGACCCCTCGCACTCTGACTGGCCCAGGAGGAAGCCAAGGCGGGACGCAGGTGGACAAAAGGGCGCTCTCCCGCGAGGCCCGCCCCGGGTTCCCGGCTCACCCGCGCTGGGGCGGAGGGCCGCCTGCAGGAGTCCCGCGGGCAGCACGGAGTCCGTAACTACATCGCCTCCCGAGTCCTTGCAGACCCCAGCGGCGACCACATTACTGTCACGCACTCACGACCTTAACTGGATGCCCAGAGGGAAAACAGGTTAAATTTAGCCAAAACATGGAACAGCTAGCAAAGGAAAATACGTCGGCGCGCCACTCACCAGGGCCACTTCCGCTTCCGGCCGCTGCGACGTCACGCAGCGACGGAAGTGCGTCACCAACGGCGTCGGTGTCCGGGCTCTCGAAGCAGGTGGACCATGGCGGAAGTGGGCCGGGAGCTAGTGTGCGACCCCGGCGGGCGGCTCCCTGAAGGTTTCTGGGCCGCGGTGGCAGTGTGGCTGGAGAGGCCGCAGGTGGCCAATAAGCGGCTCTGCGGCGCCCGCCTGGAGGCCCGCCGGAGCGCCACCTTGCCGCGGGCGAGCGCGGGCCCGGAAGGGGAGTGGGGCGCGGCCTTCTGCGGACCCCAGGAGGGGCCCGGGCCTGGCCGGGGTTTTGTCGAGGGGCATCGCGGGCCCAGGCCGGGATTAGAGCCCGAGGAGGGCACAGACCGTCGCAGACGTGAAGAAACTCAGGACCGGCGTCCACAAAAGGACGAGCAGAGCGAAGCAGCCGGAGCGCCCCTGCCGGCCGAGCACCCCGGGCAGCTGCAGGGGGCTGGGGACGAGGGCGACCCCGCCGCGGATCTGGATTCGTTCTGGGACCGTTTTTCCCAAAGTCTTGTCTCCAGCCATCCGGAGATGCTGTCATTCCTCACGTGCCCCGGAGCGGGATCGCAGTCAGGGGCACCGCATGAACTCGACCTTGTCCTAAGAACCGTCATCCCGAAAAAGAGCCCGCATTACTTGGTTACGGCTCCGAGGAGAGAAGTTGTCGTGCAGGGTAAGAACATATTTGATAGTGGACGGGTGCAGTTAGAGTAAAACACATTCATTGAACTTCAGGTTAGTGAAAAAGAACCAAGAAGGCCACTTCCTTTATCATTTTCTGAAGGGGTTGTGAGCTGTGGGTTGTTCCTGAGAGGGACATACGGAAATATACTGTATGTTCTTAGGACGGAGGGTGGGATAGCTGGTCGGAAGGGTGGGTGTCCGGAAGGCTTCAGGGAGACGGTGAAGGACGCCCTGGTTGTTGGATGATAAACAGGACTTGCACAGGTAAAGAGAAACTGGAAGGCCGACGAGGACGTGCGTGGCAGTTGGGTGGCTGGGAGCGTACTGGTTTTCAGGGTCGAGTTTCAGATACTTATTTTGAGCATCACTGCACGTGAGCCTTCAGCCAGTCCCCACCTCAGACTTTGCTCAGCGGCGAAAGTTTTCTGTTACTGCTGCTGTAAGAAACTGCTGGGCAGGCAGGGCAGCCTTCTGTGGGAGGTGGATTTTGATTGTGAATGCCTGGCTTGAGGATTGAAGTCTGTGTTCATCCCTGACTTTGATATTGCTGGGTTTTTATATCGAAAAGAAGCAGTTGATTTTGGAGGCAGAACTTCATTCAGCTAAACCTTAAGTTTTGTGCAGACAGATGTGATGCCATAAGTCAGCTTAGGAATAAGTTGCTGTGCAGGCACCTCGCTGAGAGGGTGGTGCAGTCCCTGAGACAGGCGGGCTCTGCACCAGCCGGGCCCTTGGCTAGGGATGCCCGCCTCTCCTGGTTGAGCACTGTCCGGTGGTTCCTGTGTCAGCAGGTCAAGGTCACCTGGCAGTGTGCAGCTAGCAGAGGCCACCTTCACTCCAGCCCATGTGGGCTCCCTGTTCGCTCAGCTCGGGGGAGGTGTGGCTGCTGAGAGAGGCTGCAGCCCAGCTTCCACCTGGGAAGTCTGAGGGAGGAAGCCTCGGGATACACTGTTACTGTTGTCCCTGTGCTCTGCTGCTGCTGAGACTCCCAGCTCCGCCTGCTGCCATTGTAATACGTAGTCGTGGTGTTTTTCGTTTTTTCTTTTTTCCCCAGATGTCCCCAATGGAACCGTAACTTTTTTGCCTCTGGAAGAAGATGAGGAAGAGAATTTGAAAGTTAAAATGAGCAATGTGTATCAAATTCAGCTCAGTGGCAGCCAAGCAGAATGGTAAGGCCTGAAGGGCAGGTTGCTGGCTCCCTGCTGTGTAGTCTTGGTCCACTGATTTGCAGGAGTGGGTCTTCATTGATGGCTCTGTGCTGGCTTTGGTTGGTGCTGGTCTTGTGTGTATAGGCTGCAGCCTAGCTGGCATCCTGAGTTTGCATGCCACGGGGCCTTGGAATGGGACCCAGCTGTCCTTCACCGGGCCACTGCTCACACTTAGCCACCCTGACTAACTGTGAACTAAACCCTCGAGGCCGTAAGCCAGAACCAACCTTTCCTCCTCGAGACTGACATCATGACGGCAGCAGGCTCACCAAGACATAAATGCCTGTGGAGGAGCGGTCTGAGCAGTACCTCAGGCCTGTATGGTGTTGGGGCTTGCGCGGAGAGTGTGGCATTTGGTTTATTTCTGCTGGTGCTTGTAAAGTTAGTCAGTGGAAGGGTGAATCCGCTCCTTGCTTCCCTACTGATGCTCTCAGTGCCGTGACTGGTTGGTCCCTTCTCGGACGGTCTTGGGTGTCATGACCTTGGCTGCGTAGAGAGCAGAAGGGTGAAGCAGCAGACGGCTTTGGACTTAGGCATCCTGGGTGTCTCCACTAGCAGTGTGGTCCTGGTCCGTCACTGCCTCTGAGGCCCTTGGTCTTCCCACCTTTATGTAAAGGAGGTCCAGTAATGGTAGCCTCTGAGGAGGAGGCCGGGCTGGCCTTCTGAGAGGTCTGTTGCAGGCTCAGAGCCTAGAGTGCATAGTCAGGACAAATAAGCATTGCTCTACATTGCCAGGAGGACCTGTCTGAGGTCCCTAGTGTGTTCACCTGCACCCACACCTGGCTGCATGCTTGGGCCTAAGCTGTCGGTAAGCTCCAAGGCGATTCCTGCGTGAGTGTGGTGAGGTACCCAGGGTGCCTGGCCCTGTGGATGCCCCCAGCCAGCGAGTTTGCCTTGTGAGCTCACGCTCACTGTTCTCTTACAAACCACGAGGGGCTTGACTGCTGCCTGTCCTATGTTGGCGTTCCCAGTATGACCCCGTTGGGCAGTTGTCCCTGCATCCACTGAGGCGTGGGTCATACCTGGAGGCCAGCTGTCCTGTAGTCCCATGGAGCACAGGTGCAGGGCACCAGATGGCTCCTTTTCAGTCAGGCTTGTGTGCTGAGCCTGTGGCAGGTGCTGGTGTACAGTGTGAGCAGGTCTTTAGGAGAGACAGAACGAGGTGCTCTGGCCCCAGCCCATGCTGGTGAGGAAACCCAAATAAACATGGCTCTGATCCAAGGACCGGGGTAAGAACGGCAGTGATATGCCTGATGACTGTCAGGCAGGTAGGGTAGGCAGCAGCGGGGGGACCCTGAGTGGATGGGGAGCAGGCCTGTGGGTCTCTGGGGACAAGGGGAAAGGGCAGCAAGGCCAGGGGAGGAGAGAGCCAGCTCTGTCCACACAGCCTGCCAGCACCCTGGAGGCCTGCTGATGTGCCTTGGAGCGACTCTGCTGGGACTGGATTGTATCGCTCTGGTCTGCTCTGTTGGCAGAAAGCAAGTCCCAGCTCTCGTCAGGTTAGCCAGCCCCTTACACTTGTCCCCAGCCAGTCACAGCCCCTCTTCCCCAACAGCCTTGTCCTTGGGACCCACCTTGAATGTTGCGTTCTTGTAGCCTTCTTTCTTGGGCTCACAAGCTTGAGGCCCTCCCCACCGTGCTGCCCAACTGCAGGCCTAGCGGAAGGTGCTGTTACCTGGGGGGGCCGCCACCCTCTGCGCATGCTCAGGGGTTCTGGCCCTGCCAGGAAGGCAGTGGAGCAGAGTAGGGGTAGGAAGCCGCGCTTCCCGGCTCTGGAGAGGGCTTCGTCCTCTTCTCTGTAGCTGTGCCCGGTGGCTTTAGGGTTTTTGGTAATGTATTTTATAGTAAGTAGCTTCTGCGTTCTTCTTTTGGATAAACAGACAAGTAATTTAAAGTTAAAACTCCAAACCAGCCTGCTTATTCATATTTCTCTTACTTTTAAAGGTTTATATCTGTTTTGATTTTCTGTCCAGAGAAGTGGCACGTGGATGGAGTTGTCTACCCCAGAGTTTCCTGGCTGGGTGAGGCGCTGCTGGGCAGGCTGGCCCGGTGGTGCGTGGTGCCCGGGAAGAGCGGCTTCCAGAGCACCCTCTCGCTCGTCTCCATCGCGAGGTACAGCACGCTGTATCAGGAGCTCAAGGAGAAGTACAGAGGCATGGTGAAGGTGAGGTGAAGGGCCTGGGCGGCTGGCACATCCCAGGCCCGCCCTCGCCGTGGCCTTGGACTCACTGTGGTCGACTGTCCTGTGTGCCAGATGTTTGCATTAAGTAGCTTCTGGGTCCCCTCAACTGGAATTCTTCTCA